GCAAGTTCATCTTAAAGTCCCAAGAAACCAGCCTGAAGTCCAGAGACAAGTAGTGGTGGGGATGAGCAATGGTCCCGGCCATAAGGGCCTGTAGCTGCAGGCAGCCTCGCATGGCCATCCCCTCTTGGAGGGTGAATTCTCAACTTTCTGTCTCTCTGCCCTATAGCAAAAAACTCTCTAATAAAAACAAAAACAAAAACAAAAACAAAAACAAAAACAAAAAAACACTCAAAGGTTGTTCATGTGGGTGATTCTAGATCGCATTTTGAGATACTGACTTAGAGTCTGTGAAAAACATATTAAACTTTGAATATACAAAATACCCTTTCTCATAGTTTAGAGCAAGGATAGGCTAAATTTGCTTTCCGTTTTTGTTTTTATATTTTTTAAGTAAGTCATAAAAAATAGGGGATTTAAATGTGTCTGGAGTAGAAGGATTCAAACCCTGGCTCTGTTAGTAGCTATGTGTTTAGCTATGTGTCTTTGGCAGCTCATTTGATCCCAATAAATCAGTCTATGTCTAAAAATCTTAGAGAAATTTGATGAGGATCAGATGGGGTGATCCATAGGCTTGACACTTATAAAATTCTAAGCACGTATGTGTGTTAGTTACTTCTGTACTGTGCTTATGTATCTGGGGTACCTTGTTATCTTCAGTAAGTACATCCACTTATCATCCAACTTCCTTCAGTTTCTTCTATCCTGATCCTTCTTATTAATCACAGACAACAGAGGGAGTATTAGTTCTACTCACCATTCTCCTTCTCTCACTCCTACTAAACTTAGCCTGGCAAATTTTACCTTTCATTTAATATTTATTTTTTAATTGCCAGAGGATGAATGCACTCATCAGAGACAAAGAGAGAGAGATAGAGAGAGAAAAAAATCCCCGATGGAGTATGGTCATCTTTTTTCTCCATTCCTCTTTACTGTCAGGATTTTAGGCACACACATGCATGTTCCCTGCATGTTTTTCAAACTGCTGAGGCCAGAATTTGAACCACAGTCAGCCATGTAGGAACTAGCTCCTTTGACCACTGATCTATGAGGCTGGTCCTTATTCGATATTATAAATAGTAATTCTTTGCCAAACTACCACTAGATTCTGGTGACCCAAAATAAAATAAAATATACCTTTGCCTCTGAATAATAAACTGATTCTTACTCAAGTATTGAGTGAAATCCCAGAAGGTTAATTTTAAATCTTGCTTGGTAAAAAACACCACCTTTATTCGTTGGTTGAATCAGTAATTTTTAGAATCACAAGTAATCAAAAAATCATATTGCTTGAGTCACTCATTATTACTATCTGGGATGTTGTCTATAATTCACATTCATTTAAAAAGAAATAAATAAATTTTAGAAAATGAAATAAAATAAAATTTAGGACAAAAGCTATGCAGGATTTTCTATTTATTCTACCATCTTAAAGGAAGGCTTCCTGAAATCTCACTGAATAAGCATAGCTATATCAGTTATAGTCATGTGTGACTGTGCTTATTCTGTGAAAAATATGTGCTATACACATCACAAAAGGGATGCAATTATTTTTAAGTTCCTCTGCATGCATTAGATCATTTAGAAAATAAGAGTAATTAATTTAATTAAAAATCCGATTATATAAAAATACCAACAGTCATTCTGGAAAATGCAGACTTTGCTACCAGCATCAATTAATATCCATGGCTTCTAAAAGCCTTCAGATTTTTTTCTCACACCCCCCACCCCCACCCCCAGCAACCTGGAGTCATTAAATTTTGTAATCTGGGGATACTTTATTTCTTGAAATACTTCAAAATACATTCTATTCTTCTTTTAAAATATGCTTTATGCACAATCAAGTGACAGGCTGGTTCAGAGGTGAAGGCTATTGAAACCTGAAGACCATTGCAACTCTGCCTGTTAGTTGAGCAGAATATAATTCTATTTTGACAAAGGAAGAACACTATTTGCAATCATTTCCAGAAAGTAGGATATTTTCTTTGGGTATGTACTATATTTCCACTGTATTCTTCAGAAATTTCACTAACTATATTTGACCACAATGGTAACCTGTCCAAATATTATTAATGATATTGTAGAAGAAAAAGTTAAACTAAAATTGTCTAAAAGAAGTAGAGGGAGGGAGAGATAAGAATTGGAAGAAAGAAGGAAAAAGAAGAAAGAGAATACTGTCATACTGCACTGTCTTACTGTAGGGAATTGTTGTTTTAATATACAAGTGAGTGGCCAGCCAGTGACTTGGTGGTTAAATGAGCTGGATCCCACGTGGCTGATCACATGATCTGAGTCCCAAACCAGGTAGTATGAAAAACACTTTAGGTTCTTGTGTGTGTATGTGTGCCTGCAATCTCCACATGAGGGAGAAGAAATACAGGAATAGAGGAGAAAGAACTGCGGCATGACCATGCCCTATGAGGAGCTCTTTCTTTCTTTCTTTCTTTCTTTCTTTCTGTCTGTCTGTCTTTCTTTCTTTCTTCTTTCTTTCTCTCTCTCTCTCTTTCTTTTTTTTTGGGAGAGATTTTTGCTAAGTGTGGCATGGGTTCACCAGAGAGGCAGAGAGAGACAGACAGAAAGTGTGAAATCACCCCCCAGGGGGAATGGCTATGCTGCAATCCCTTCTTCTCTGTTCTACTGCTGGGATCATGGGTACACACACACACACGCACCCAGCATGAGTTTGAAGACACCGGGCCTAGAACTTGAACCACAGTCAGTCATGAGGGAGTCCAGTCCATCTACTGGTCCCAGGGAGTGCTTTCTTGCTCCCTAGGCTCACCCCTCTCTTGAGAATTCAAGTGCTCTTTGGTAATTTTTTTTTTAAAGCATGTTTAAGTATAAATTTTCCTAAGAGATTTTGGAGAGAAGTGAAATTTTCTTGGGAATTAGTATATCGCCAGTATATGTCAGATATACTCTCCTCAGAGACCTGTAGACCTGTGGTGGGTTGAAGCACAGCATCTGGCAGCAGTACCTGGCATAATGCCTGACCTGCGTGTAGGAAGGGCCACAGGGCTCTGAAGACTGCTGAATTAGGGGAGCTGGCAGCACAGCCTGGCCTTGGGCACAGAATACATCCTCAGGTCCTGCTTCTGGTCATTCTACTATTTCAGTTGTCAAAAAAGCAAGGCTCCTGTAACTGGGACATCTTTGTCAGACTTACTTGTCCATTTTTTTCCTTTGCCACCTCATTTACTGTGACACTTTCAGGCCCATGGAAGTCAGGGAGCAGGCTGGGAATTACCAAGTGGTCTGTGCTCAAGAAAACAGTCTTTCTGCATTAGCAGGAAGGGGCTCTGCTTGCAGCTTTCTCTGCCATGCTGCTGAGTGTGCGATCAGCTAGTCACAAGTGACAGGATAACTGGTGACACAATAGTACCAGCAGAAAACAAATGTGTGGACAAGATGTGAAAGATGCTTTTATATCCAAACCACAAGAAACCCATTAAACGGAATAAATTACATGCTGCCAGGGTGATGATTCACTGTCCTGTTGAAATAGGCAACATTTTGAAGTGACAAAAAGATAGCCTGGTATAACACAAAGAGGCTCAAAATTGTGAAGAAACTTTTCATTCTGATTGGAGTATACAGTTTCAAACTGCAAAATAATCCCTAACAAAGATCCAAGTCCCAGTAAAAGACGCTCCTTGTTCTCTATTGTCATCATCCTCTCCTTATTTTTGGAAATTAAAGTTAAATTTTAGCTTACGGTAAGTCCTTTGAAACATAGTTATGGACACGGTACATTCATTACTTAATTTATTCAGTAAATATCTATGAAGGGACTTTCGTGTGTCTGGCATTAGAGCCAAAATAATGAACAAGAGACATGTCCCCTGCCTTGACAGGGCATGGCCTAGTAAGATACTAAAGTTCCACTGAATACTTTCATAGCAAACATTTGACTTGCACAATCTCATGCAACCCTTATAATACTTCTTATGAAGTAGACATCTTTTGCATATTTTATACATGAGAAAAATTAGGGTCAGAAGTGGGATAATTTGTCCACAGTTGTAAGCTAAACAATGGTTGAGGCAAAATTCAGACAAGATCTGACTTTCTTGGCTATGCATTGACACAATTGCCCATTCACTGAGGTTGTTACTTGAGAAGGAAATAGTAAATAACATTCTAGACCCAGAAAATTATTACTTCATTTTCAATTTACTGAAACCATTTGCTTCATGTAGAAACAACCAATCTTCCTTTAGTTGGCTCCCACTTTCCAGAAGACCAATGAAGTGAGTAGGTAGTTAGACCCAAATATAATAGACATATGTTAATTAACATTAGTTTATACCATGTCATTAAAATTAGTTTTATATTAGCAATTTTGTCTCCTGTCTTTAAAGGGGCTCCTCAACTTTTAAATGTTTAAGCCCACAAAACTAAGATTATCTCCTGTTGACACCAAATAAATTGCCAACAATTTATTTTCATTGAATGAATAAATTAGAGAAGTGAGGGAGAGGAGGAGAAATAAATGTGTTTATTAACCAATATATTCTAATATTTAAATATTAGCATTTCTGGCAAAAATTCACTAAAATTTACCAACAAATAATGTTAATATTTCATACTTGTGGAATG